CACATCTGTCAATATACAATGTATCAAAACATACAGAACAAACAACGTCCAATTAATAACTGGCTCCCAATTAAAAGCTGTAGTAATTTTAGACTGTCCTATAGGACAATCAGTCCTATAACAGTGGTTATAGGACTGTTATAACAGCGATATATGGAATATCAAGAACCAGTCTTTTCACATGAAACCGACAACACAGAATGTAAATTTAAGATCCTCCTTTGTCTTGAACTAATAAGCACTAAAAATAATTTGATGAAAGTGATGATAGTCAAAATAATAATTCAAGACCCTTTTATAGTTATTGATACTTATATATTAGTATAGATTCTTGTATATAAGTCACGCGAAACTTATGTAGTTAAGATACCATCTAAATGGAGATCAAATACTTCCTAGAAAGTCTTAGAAATTCAGCTCTAAAATATAGTCTTACGGGGTTGCATTGTGGTATATACAATTATATAATTGTAATATACACAGAGAGAGGTCCAGGAAGCGGTTTAAATGAAAAGGCACATGCCAGGGGCTTCTTTTTTATAGATGTGTGGCGGAAATGTACTCTAAACCAGTACATAGTGAAACTAACCACCATCACCACCACTACTACCACCATCGTCTTCATTACCACCTCCACTATCACCACCACCACCATCAGTACAACTACCACCACCACCACCATCACCACCACTACTACCACCACTGCCACGACCACTACCACCACCATCGTCTTCATTACCACCTCCACTATCACCACCACCACCATCAGTACAACTACCACCACCACCACCATCACCACCACTACCACCAACACTGCCACGACCACTACCACCACCATCGTCTTCATTACCACCTCCACTATCACCACCACCACCATCAGTACAACTACCACCACCACCACCATCACCACCACTACTACCACCACTGCCACGACCACTACCACCACCATCGTCTTCATTACCACCTCCACTATCACCACCACCACCATCAGTACAACTACCACCACCACCACCATCACCACCACCATCACCACCACTACCACCAACACTGTCACGACCACTACCACCACCATCGTCTTCATTACCACCTCCACTATCACCACCACCACCATCAGTACAACTACCACCACCATCACCACCACTACCACAATTACCACCACCATATAGAGACGATGAGTCACAATAACATGACTGAAGATATGATAACCAAACCCCACACCAGAAGATGAAGAGAGGACGACGAGGGTTATAGCTCTGCGGGCTCACCCTAGCCCGTGCTGCTTGGCACGTTTCCTTCCAGGTAGCGAATCTTAAACAACAACACCAACGACGACAAGGTCGTTCCATCCTGGACGGAACGACCAGGACGGTCGTTCTGAACGATCAATTCGTGTGACAGAAAGAGAGGAAGAAACAGACCAATAAATAATAAAGTGACATGAGAGGTGAGGAGCAAGTAAAATGCAAGAATAGGGAAGGTAAGAATAAGAAAACAGAGGCAAAGCATAAATCAGATCACGTTTGTTAAGAAGGTTGGCGCATTAGAGTATGTCCTGTGACAGGAAATCAACAGCAACAAAGCCAGGACTCAGATTCATCATCTGATGACTGATCAATCGGCTCTGATACATCAGGTGTATCAGAGCTGATTCAACAAGACGGCGTCTGTGTAGAGGCAGGAATGATTATTTTACAAGACCAATCAATACGATGATTTAGAGTCCTTTAACATGATAAGAGAGCATTGTTTGTGTCTGCAATCTTAACTCTTGTGTATCCTTAAGTCTGCCATTAAGTGTACGGCCAGTTTCGCCAAAGTATTGGAGAGGACAAGACGAACAGGAAATAGAGCAGACACCAGCAGCATTAGAAGCAGGAGAAGGAGCAGTGTGAAGCAGATTACTACGAAGTGTGTTAGTTTGTCGAAGGCGAGTTTTATATCAAGAGAGCGAAGGGTATTAGTATGATATTTTTATACTCAAATCTGAAGGGGGAAAGCACAGCACAGCATTGTATGATATATGGAATGGTTATCATACCACCACCACCACAACTACCACCACCACCACCACAACTAACCACCACCAGTGAGTACTACAGAGGGGGAGATAGTAGAGCTGCCTAACCTAAAGAGGCACTCACACAAGCGACCAAGCACGAGTGGCCACATCATCATATCCTCCCTTCCCCCTAACACACACACACATGTAAATGCAGCCACAGCAACAAATACACCTGAGGTGGGGGAACAAAAACACCCGAATTGAGATGAGTAACGCAAAAGTAACATGCACAAATGCAGATGGAATTACTAATAAATGGGTAGAATTGCAGGAAAGAAGAGACAGAAGAACGGCGGAAGTGTTATAAGAAAGGAAACGCAACAAGTAGTTATAGGAAATACAAACTTCTCACAAGGAAGGCAGGTGACAAGGGAAGCAGAAGGGAAGGTGCTATAGCCTTGTGGTACAGCTACAGCGCAGCTTAGAGGAAGCTTTTGAATTCTGGATATGAAGTCAAATCAGCTGAGTAACCCAGAGTTCATACTACGAATAACAACATTGGGAGACATGAATATATTGGTAGCAGTGATTTACAATCCCCTATCAACCAATATAAAGCCTAGAGAAGATGACAAATTCAATGTCAAGTGTGTTAGATAGATAGTAGCCATCCAGCAGTCTCGGGAGACTATGGAGTTGCGCTCTGGTTGTCGGTCTGGAGTGGCCTCTCCTGGGCGCAAAGCCTGGGTAGGTTGATACGGGGAAGAAGCTGTTACCCATGCAGCAGGTCCCCCCCCCCCCCCTTCTCCACGGTGCCGAAAGTCTCCAATGGGAAAGGCAAACGCCAATACGAGTGTGTTAAGGTAATGGAAACGCTTGCGCAGTAGCAAGGGAAGCAAGAGCTAAAATTCGAATAGTGGGGGACTTTATCTATAGGGAAATAGACTGAATAAATAAGTACCTCCCAGAAATGGTGACACACACAGAACACAACTGGAACACACACCAAAGAAAACCTTCTGAAAGCATCACAACACAGAACCAACAACACAACTGGAACACACACCAAAGAAAACCTTCTGAAAGCATCACAACACAGAACCAACAAGAGTAAGATTTTTTTTTTTTTTTTGAGATATATACAAGAGTTGTTACATTCTTGTACAGCCACTAGTACGCGTAGCGTTTCGGGCAGGTCCCTGGAATACGATCCCCTGCCGCGAAGAATCGTTTTTTCATCCAAGTACACATTTTACTGTTGCGTTAAACAGAGGCTACAGTTAAGGAATTGCGCCCAGTAAATCCTCCCCGGCCAGGATACGAACCCATGACATAGCGCTCGCGGAACGCCAGGCGAGTGTCTTACCACTACACCACGGAGACTAACATGATATCTAACATGTCTAACAACTAACATTGCTCCATCAGCAACACTAGACCTGAGTGCTTCCCCAAAATGAGGCAGAAGTTGACAAAAAGAAAATAGAAGATGAGATGAATTGTCATAATTGAATACATAATGAAGCTGAAGGAGTTGCTTACACTTAGAGAGCCGGTCGGCCGAGCGGACAGCACACTGGACTTGTGATCCTGTGGTCCTGGGTTCGATCCCAGGCGCCGGCGAGAAACATTGAGCAGAGTTTCTTTCACCATATGCCCCTGTTACCTAGCAGTAAAATAGGTACCTGGGTGTTAGTCAGCTGTCACGGGCTGCTTCCTGGGGGTGGAGGCCTGGTCGAGGACCGGGCCGCGGGGACACTAAAAAAAAAAAAAAAACCCGAATTTATCTCAAGATAACCTCAAGATAACCTACACGAAACAACCTCTTGACGATGATGATGAGATTACTGACGTGGGGAGTACAGTAAGACACGGAAGTTTCTGCATCACATCCAATGGGAAAGAGAAATGGAACGTAAGACAGCAAATAAGGTGATGGACTTCACCGCTGGGAAAGGTGCCCGGCGCAACGGAGTAATTCATACCACTCAAGAAGGCGGTGGATGAGAAAAGTCAAATAAATCTCTGGTTCAATAGGCAATACAAGGAAGCTAAGGAAGGTATATAAAATGTAAGAAACCGTACAGGGAACTAGGAACAAAAAACAACAGAGACACTCCAGAGAACCAGACATTAATACCCCAGAGTTAGGAGAGAAGCAGAGAGGCAAATTGAAAATGCTGCAAAATCAATGCCATTTTCAAAGCTGTTCTGTTCAAAGTATTTTCAAAGCTACTAAACAAAGCTACCCTATAACCATATAAGAAAAAACAGTATAAGACCATGTACTCACAATAAAGGAATTCACAAAAGATTTCTGTAGGTCTTTACCAAAGAACCGACACGGAGACCAAGGTTATGAGATGAAAGGCCGGAAGAAACAATGGATGACATTGTAGTCACTGTAGAAGAGGTAAGAAAACACCTCCAGGAACTGAATGTTACAAAATCAATGAGGCCGGACCCAACCTCACTATAGCTGCTGAAGGAGGCTTCAGGAGTACTTTGTTACCTAAAATGTTTAATAAAACAGGAAATCAGAAATCAGATTTCCTTAAGACAGGGAATCTCCCAGAAGTCTGGAAAAAAAGTAAACATAGTCCTGTTATTCATGCCAGGCAGGAATGCACGAAGGAGAGCAGGCAAGAAGGCAGGCTGGAAGGCAGGCCGAAGGGCAGGTAGAAAGGCAGGTCGCAGAGCAGACAGACAAGCAGGCCTAAGCGCATGTGGGAAGACATGCAAGATCAGGGGAGACAGACAGAAAGGGAGGCCGGATAGCAGACAGGACCGTAAGCCGGATAGCAGACAGGACCGTAAGCCGGATAGCAGACAGGACCGTAAGCCGGATACCAGACAGGACCGTAAGCCGGATAGCAGACAGGACCGTAAGCTGGAGGACAGGTAAGAATGAAGACAGAAGACAGGTGGACGGGAAGGCAGGAATCCAAGCAGAGGGAACAGGTAAGTCTCTGTCTGCTTTAATGACTTCGTTACTAATTCAAGATTTTAAACAGGAATCCATGAATTTGATAGGTGGCGAATATAATTGGCCGCTCCTGTGGCCAGCCGGAGCCTGCTCCTGTGGCCAGCCGGAGCTGCTCCTGTAGCCAGTCGGAGCCTGCTCCTGTAGCCAGCCGGAGCCTGCTCCTGTAGCCAGCAGGAGCCTGCTCCTGTAGCCAGCCGGAGCCTGCTCCTGTGGCCAGCCGGAGCCTGCTCCTGTAGCCAGCCGGAGCCTGCTCCTGTGGCCATTCGGAGCCTGCTCCTGTAGCCAGCCGGAGCCTGCTCCTGTGGCCAGCCGGAGCCTGCTCCTGTAGCCAGCAGGAGCCTGCTCCTGTAGCCAGCCGGAGCCTGCTCCTGTAGCCAGCCGGAGCCTGCTCCTGTAGCCAGCCGGAGCCTGCTCCTGTAGCCAGCCGGAGCCTGCTCCTGTAGCCAGCAGGAGCCTGCTCCTGTAGCCAGCCGGAGCCTGCTCATGTGGCCAGTCGGAGCCTGCTCCTGTAGCCAGCCGGAACCTGCTCGTGTGGCCAGCCGGAGCCTGCTCCTGTAGCCAGCCGGAGCCTGCTCCTGTGGCCAGCCGGAGCCTGCTCCTGTGGCCAGCCGGAGCCTGCTCCTGTAGCCAGCCGGAGCCTGCTCCTGTGGCCAGCCGGAGCCTGCTCGTGTGGCCAGCCGGAGCCTGCTCCTGTAGCCAGCCGGAGCCTGCTCCTGTAGCCAGCCGGAGCCTGCTCCTGTAGCCAGCAGGAGCCTGCTCCTGTAGCCAGCAGGAGCCTGCTCCTGTAGCCAGCAGGAGCCTGCTCCTGTAGCCAGCCGGAGCCTGCTCCTGTAGCCAGCAGGAGCCTGCTCCTGTAGCCAGCCGGAGCCTGCTCATGTGGCCAGTCGGAGCCTGCTCCTGTAGCCAGCCGGAACCTGCTCGTGTGGCCAGCCGGAGCCTGCTCCTGTAGCCAGCCGGAACCTGCTCGTGTGGCCAGCCGGAGCCTGCTCCTGTAGCTAGCAGGAACACGTAACAGGAGGCATGATGGGTAATGCACAGGCCGGGTAATACAGGATCGGTTAATGTATTAAAATCCGCCATGTTGTTGTTACTGGTGTGACGTCACTGAATACTCCCGCTGCTCGCCTGCGTTCGTAGATAAATCCGTTTAGAGTCAGTTATATATTCGTGCGTATTTATACGGCTAGGCCACCGGCTAGACCAGTGGCTAGGCCAGCGGCTAGGCCAGCGGCTAGGCCAGCGGCTAGGCCAGCGGCTAGACCAGTGGCAAGGCCAGCGGCTAGGCCAGCGGCTAGGCCAGCGGCTAGACCAGCGGCTAGACCAGTGGCTAGGCCAGCGGCTAGGCCAGCGGCTAGGCCAGCGGCTAGGCCAGCGGCTTACCTTCTGCAGGATGCAAACCACAAGAGTTACCTAACTCCCGGGAACCTAATGTTGATTTCTTGGCTCCTCTGCTTACCCTATTTTGGAACTCCTGAGGAAGTCACTACCGGAGTTCTGGACAATATAGCATGACGAATTATATATATATATATATATATATATATATATATATATATATAATAAAATAACCTCTAGGGCCAATTATTTGTGTCTGAAAGTACGTTCATATTTTAATCGTTCAAATTTGTTTTATTTTGCTCGTAAAAAAAGATCAGTTCCTTGTCAACATCTGCCTTCAAGACTCGTGATGTCTCGAGGCCAGTGATTGGCCAGCAAGCGACACTGGCTATCTGTGATTGGTGTAGAATATCGGATATACAAATACCAACCAATCAGAGCGAAGTATAGGCTGACTCCTCGTGGGTTCTCATTGGCGGAGGTGATCTCTGTAGAGCTTACTAGGATAGCATAGGTCTCCGAAGTCAGTCATTCTCTTCGAAGCTCCTGTCCAGATTCCGCAGTTTACAGAACGCGCGATAAAGGCTCTGGCAGGGAAGAATAATTCGTCGTATCAACATTCCTGGGAGGAACGGACAGTAGCCAAGGCGTATCTGGGTCCAATTCACCAGCTGTTTGGTGATGGAGGATGTCTAGTGACTTTTGGGTTACAAACTGCCTTACAAAACTACCAACCGTGACTGTACGAGGCAGCTATCATCTGCCGCAAGTCAGCGGTGGTCAGCATCGGAGATTGAGGCAGTAATGTCGGCCCAGGAGCTACACTCCGACTACTGTCGTCGTGTGCGATCGCTTCGATATGAAGGAAACTGTACTTGTTATTCCAGCTTCCCGTCGTGACGACTGACGGAAGACTGACCAGAGTGGAGGGGGAAGACACCCAAGGACCCCTGTGGACACCTTATCATCGCTCCTCTAAGACCAAAGAGGCGCGGAATCTGATAATCTCACAGGAGCGCAAACAGTAAGTCCTTAATGGCACAGAGACAGCTCCATTAACTCGCAGGATCTGACAGCAGCTCATAGGCGCAGCTCCAATAATTCGCAGTGTTTCACGGGATCCCCACAGCGTCTCACAGGATCCCCACAGCGTCTCACAGGATCCCCACAGCGTCTCACAGGATCCCCACAGCGTCTCACAGGATCACACAGGATCAGCGCCACAAGTTAACTGAGTATCATGATCTAAATGGCCAATATTTAGCTAGCAGAATCTTTTAAATTCCCCAAGCGAAAGAGAAAGTAGAAATCACTAGCAGTGCTGTAAACTAACAGGAGACTGTCTGGGCTGAATTGGGCTGTTACAGTGGGATTACCGAAGGTCAAGACTATATTATATTTGAGGTCAGACCTACATACTAGTTGAAGAGTTAACGAGGGTTTCAGGTCAACCTGAAGGGGCCTCGTAGCCTGGTGGATAGCGCGCAGGACTCGTAATTCTGTGGCGCGGGTTCGATTCCCGCACGAGGCAGAAACAAATGGACAAAGTTTCTTTCACCCTGATGCACCTGTTCTCTAGCAGTAAATAGGTACCTGGGTGTTAGTCAGCTGTCACGGGCTGCTCCCTGGGGGTGGAGGCCTGGTCGAGGACCGGGCCGCGGGGACACTAAAGCCCCGAAATCATCTCAAGATAACCTCAAGAGATAACCAACCCTAGGTGAGTCGTTACGTCACACAGGGCGAATTGACGGCATGAAATGATTACGTGAGTTTAGGCCTTAGAATGATTTTAGATTTTTTAGGCGTGACAGAACAAGGGATTAAAGACAGCCAGTCAGAGACCAAGGCACGAGCAATTCCTCAAATGGAGAAGTGTCTGAAACCTTGGAAGAGGTTAGATTCGTCGACTATGCGTGTCTGTTGCTGTAAAAATTAATAACAGAGTAGCCTAAGGGGAAAGAACTTAAATGGTTCTAGGTTAGAGTTTTGCCTGACTAGGATAGTTTTGTTTTACTAGGATATGTGGACCATTGGCCCAATGTGTGGACCAGATAGGGTCCAGAGTGTGGACTGGTATGGCCCGGGGCGGACAGGGAAGGTGGTTCAGGGCAACCTGTCTAGGGTAAATAGACAGAGCTAAAGAAAACCTTTCACATAAATTTGGGAAGTGGAAAGAAAGTTCTCATGTAATTATAAATAATTAATACTAAAATCTATTTGACCTTTTTGTAAACTTTCTTTATTCCTTCGTGCATCATGAACGGCACGTCGCAGTAGACTATTAAACATGTTGATATACATACTTTATAGATATACATTCATGTAACACATGACTATAAATCTATTTATATGTATAAAAGAGAATGTTTGTTCGAGGTTGGACGCCTGATGCTTGGGGATAGCCTCATTAAATTTTATGGTAATAATGGCATTTTTACCTTAGTGCCATAGGGGGCCGGAGTCCAGTGCCTACCTGTAGTAGGCACTGCACGGTCCAAGTGCCACTCCTTCACGAAGTCTATGGAAGTGAAATATTCAGCCCACAGTCCATAGACTGTAGCATTAGTTGAGATAATACTGAAATCAGATACTTTCCAAACGTGTATTCAAGTGACAGATTGGCATTCAGGATGCAACTTTTTGGTTACAGTCACGTGGGGAGGGAGTGTGTGTGCAGAGAGAGAGAGAGAGAGAGAGAGAGAGAGAGAGAGACAGACAGACAGAGAGAGAGAGAGAGACAGACAGACAGACAGAGAGAGGGGGGGGGGGTGTGTGTGTGCAGGGAGGGAGGAGATGGAGAGTGTATGTGGTAGAGGATATTAGGAGAGTGTGTGGGTGGGAGATAGGTGGAGAGTGTGTGTGTGTGTGTGTGTGAGGAGGAAATAGATTGAGTGAAGTTGTTTACAGCGATGACACGCACACACGCACACACGCACACACGCACGCACATGGACAGAACTACACAACACACAAAAGGCCCCGCACCAAACAATTACTAGCAACAACAACATATATCGCTGAAGACACTTTATCCCCCTCCCCCCCCCCTACCCTTAACCATTCACCCCCCCCCTACCCCCCCCCCCTTATAACCCCTCCCCTCTATTCCTTCCCCTCCCTCCCTCCCTACCCCTCCCTCACGCTAGCCTTCCTGATTTACCGTGAATAAAATTACACTTAAACCCGTTGATCCCTAAGCTTAATGGCGACGCGTGCGACTGCACTCTCTCACGATAAGCAACACACGAGCACCATTGTAAATCGAGCGTCAGCGACGGTCCCTACGAGAAGGCTCGTATGTGCAACGAGAATGGCTTGCTCTCCGCCCTCGGCAATTCCCACTACCTTGTCCTAAGGCTAAGTTACTGCCCCCCACTATACCTCGTGTCTGTAATACACTGCCTGGGCCCTCCGAGCCAGCCTCGGTGTACCTGTTGTCTCCTGTAGGATATGGAGGGCAAAATACGCTTCGTAAATCGGTGGATACAAACTGTGTTTCCCACAGTCTTGTTAAAAAGATGTATTCATGGTCTCTTGTATTCGTGTATGCGAAGACTGGTACAGATGCGTACACTCTTGTATTCGTGTATGCGAAGACTGGTACAGATGCGTACACTCTTGTATTTGTGTATGGAAACACGGATAAATATATGTACACGCTTACATATATTTATCAGTGTATTATTGACACTTACATATATTGTATACATATAAAAACACAGTGTGGATCAGAAAGCTTCTCTACATCCTGTGAGAACAGGAATTAAATCCTGGTGAGAATAGGCCGAGTTCTCTATTTATGAGTCAATTTATATGGTAAATGAATAAACGCGAAGTGTCTCCAGACATTAAAGCTGATAGGACTTACCATCATGCAATAATACAGTAGTCCACTGAAACAACACAATACAATCGTTAACCAACCGCCACTAATTACCCAACAACAAACTGCGCACTTAACAATCGCCACCCCCCTAATTATCCAACCACCCCCAGACAATCATTCACTCCCTCCAAAACTCACAAATGCAGATCTCATCTCCACCCTCATAACTGGCATTGAAAAGGCAATAGAGACACTGGATCCATCCTTAATAAATTGTTAATGCAAATCTAACCCGTTCCTGTGAAGCAACTCCCACCACAACAAACAAAAGTAGAATCCAAACACCACTTCTAAAGGTCTAGACACAAGGAGGGATCTCATATAGGGTAAAGTTATAGATAGATACCTTACACAACTAGTCTAATCTATCTCTCCTTGTCTGGACTTCCCATAACACAACCAGAGAAAATAAAAGTCAAAAAGCTCACAGCTGTAGGATTAAACAACCATCGAACCAGTATGAATCAGAATGAAAAAGCATGTAAGATACATTTCCTTTCCCCTGAACCTCCCCTCTCCCCTGAACCTCCCTTTCTCCCCCGCCCCCTGAACCTCCCCTCCCCCCAACACACCCCCAGATATCCAACTTACTGCACCAATGACCACCAAGAAAAACTGACACAATCACAAACCAAAACTACTATATGACCCTCTGACCTTCTTGACTTGCAACAATAAAAGCATCAGAACATCACTCGCAGAATTAAAACAATTCCTCAACTCATCAAAACCAGAAACTAGTTTTCATAACTGAATTCCGGCTTACGCCCAAACATATTCCCGTTTTCAAAACTTTCATATGCAGAGAGCGGGCAGAACTAACAGCAAAGGGCATAGACATGTTTTTTTAACAAGA